TTTGTGAATTGTGTAATTTTTTTTTTCACAGTTTTTCAAATACAATTTTGTAGTATTTTTGTATCAGAACTGAGCAAACCAGAAAATGCATTTTTTATTTTTTTTTTGTCTTCGTAGAAAAACAAAACAAGTTTATAAAATGCAAAAATAAATTAAGAATAAAAAACCATTTCTATTGAAAAAATATTTATTAAGCATATTTTTGGTTAAATTTTATTTCCTTGAAAATAATTTAAAATTTCTATTAAACTTTATAGCCAATGTTGAAAGAGTTCTTATAGATATTAAAAAAATATATACATATTTTTAAGTAAGTAGTAGTTTTACCCCTAAATTAATTTTAGTTATTTTTTGCAATTTTTACATTCTTGTCGTAAAAAGAAGTTATTTTTTTTACAAAAACGAGTTTTTAAAACATTTCAGTGAAACTTATTTTTGGAACTCTTCTCTGTAAAAACATTAAAAACAAATCGAAAAACAATATTTTAACCAAGGTTTTAACTAAGGTTTTTTATTTCGAAAGAAATTGTTTAAAGTTTTTTTTTATCTGGCTATATATTTTGCTAAAAAATTCATCAAAAATGAAGCAAATATAAAATGTTAAAATTCTTAATAATTTTATATAAAAATGTATTTTTTTTTAATTTTACATAGAACATACATATGCATTTTATATTTTTTTAAATTTCATGAAATCTCAAATTTTAAAAATTAATTAAATACTTTAAAATGTCTTGCCTTTTATTAAAAATTTTTTTTTTTAATATTTAAACGCAATTTATTATTATTTTATGTATTTTAAGTTTTAGATTGGGTAAGTAGATTGTGTGAAATTTCCATACCTTGAATTGTAGAAGTTTTGACTCTTTCACTTTTGTATGGCGCTCTTTTTTCCAATATTTTTTCCTTAAAGGAATTTATACATTTTTACAGGAATTGTTTTTTTTTAATTTGATAATTTCTTAAAAACTTTTTTACGAACAGCAATAGTTTATATGCTTCAAACACTCGACTTTTTTCAAAACTTTTCCTAATATTTTTCTTTTCACACCAAATTTTTTTCTAAGTATTGTATTTCTTTTTCCTGTAAAAAGTGGTCTTCACCCAATAGTATAACAAGTGAGTAAATAGATTTTCTGCAGTCAACGCACTCGCACTCTTTTAGCACGTATTGTACCTATGTAATTAACACGACGATTTCACGATTTACTTTCGCAAACAAATCGAAAAAACACAACCTTCGCGTTGTTAGGTCGTTGGTGGACTAAATGTTAGCGTCAGCTAGCAAATAGCCAAAACGATCCATGTTGGGGCTCGCTTTTGCTGACTATTTATCGTGTGGAGCGCATTGATAACGCGGCAAGAGAGCGCCAACGTGCTCCAACTCAGTAGTGGCTGCGGTTGCGTGTGTATGAGTAGGTGTGTTTGTTTTTGTTTTTCCCTTTTTTCTGTTTAGTTTTCTCTCTCTCACTCTGTTTTTGTTTTATCGCCCCCCGTTCTTTTCTTTCCCTCGTTTACCCCATATGGAAGTCTTTATTTGTTTTTTGTTGCTAATGGCATTTTATTTGGCAAACTTTTTGTTTACGTTTGTGGATTGTATTGCTCAGCTGATTTTGCGTCTGGTTGGTAGCGAAAACTTTTACAAATGTCTACATACATATATGTATATCTGTACTCAGCATATACGAGATACATATGTATGTATAAACATATGAACAACGCCATTCATATCTGTTGTTTACTTTGAGTACTTTCGCTGTTGTTGTGTGGATATGATATGTGAGCTTTGATCTTACCTTCTGTGTTTGAAGATTTGTATATTACACAAAAACTTGGAAAAGTTTGATAGCTCAGCCTGCCATCGGCGGAGCTTAAATGTTGAGTTGCATTTCCTTATGAAAAGAACAATCCCCTTATTGCTAGAGTACCCATCTAGCTCCCAATTTACAGTCCGATTTTCAAACAAATCCAAGTATCCACGCATATGTGCTAACAAGGAGCACCCAAACTCCCTTCGAACAAGGTTAAATTTCTCCTCCTGTTTTAATAAAAAAGTCGTCTGCTCGAAGTCTTAAGAACTCCGCTTTCCACCACTGCTCTCATACATATCTGACTAATTCTTCGATTTTATTTTTAAAAAGATACACTTCACTGCACGGTGGCTCTGGAAATAGTTCCTACAGCTTCCTGCTAAATCACGTTCGCCTGGTTCCTACTATGTATGTATGTATGTATATCCGATTCGCACTACCAACACCAAGTTTCTGACGCGACTTCCTAAAAGGGAAGAATTGAGATCGGATTCGAATAGGAAGGAAAGATCTATCCATGTTTGTAAGAATGGGTCAAAACTTACTATAAAACGTGTTGATGGTTAATACTCGAAATAATTACGTATATCTTCCAGTTTGCCTAATTGTTATAGTGCCATTCAGGCAGACTGCCCTTAGGGCTTAGATGTCGCTGATTATCAACGAGATAACTAAACTGTATCGACACATATCGTCTAGGTTCCTGACCATATCGAGGTCAGCTGTGAGCTTCAGATTTTATATGACCTGAGACCGATAGAAATTAGGAACTTCGCCTTATTTTATGGAGCATCCATATATTTTCGATGGAACGGACACCGCAGCGGTGTCAAAAAGTACTGCTCCCGGTAGAACCCAGCTTTAAGCTCTGGTCCATGGAAACATCTAACAAGTGTTTCTTTTTTCCTCAGAGCAGTTGCTCTCGGCAGGCTAATGGAAAACTGGATGTAACCGGAAGTTAGAAAAGCAGTGACCACCACCTCGGAAGAGGCTAGATTTAATCCTTCTTTCATGGCAGCTACAAAAAGTTAATTTCACCTCTTTTACGTACTAAAGCAGGGGTAACACGATTTGTACATTTGTACAGATTTGTCTATTTACTCCGTTACATAGTGGTGTTATTTGGAAAGTTTTAATTCTACCAATCTACTGATACAAATATCAGCTGAATGCTGTTGTTGCAAAAAGTAAAAACCACGAGAAAAAAATAAGCAAATAAATAAACAGAAAATAATTAAGGTCGTTATTTCGATCAAATATCTAATTTCACAAAAGCAAAAAATATTATAATTTTCACTCTGGCAGCCCCATTACGATCACATGTAGCCAAGCAAAGACCGCAAAAGTTAGCTATTAAAAGCTGTTGGAGAGAGTAAGCTATTTGTAAGTAAATGATTCACGGTACGTTCGAACATACATGCAGCATTTGTATGCTCATTTTTGTGTGGGAATTGCGCCCCAAAAACATCGCAAAGAGCGTGAAAAGCCACATGCTCTAATGCTAACATACAGAGCTTGGGTGGCAAATCCAAAACTTTTTTGAGTGGTATTTTGCAGATAAATATGTACGTATACGTTTGAGTGGGAGTGAAAAAGCTTAACAGAATTTAGACAGGGTGACTCGTGTGTCGAAAAATATATTTAAAAAATATTAAAGACAAAAGTTTGATAAATTTCGAAATTGCTGGGGAATTTTTTATGTATGTATTAAGTTAGAAGTTTTACATTTTGTGAAACATAATTTATATGCAATTTTATTTTACTTGTATATCAGTTTTATTTCGTTAAATATTGTTCATATATATATTTTAATTTTTTACGCGTTTTAAAATTTAAAGAGAATGTTTTTTTTTAAATCCCGAATTCGCTGGTAATATTTATATTTGTGCGTTAAAAAAAATGTCGATGAAAGTTGAAAAATAAAATCAAAAATTCAACATGCAATTTTTTTTTGTTTTCGATCTCATTTAAACAGGGAATTTAGAAAAATTACAAAAAAGCTTGTGAATTTTTTTACGTTCCTCTAAACATTTTAGACGTTCGTTTAAATTTCTTGACCCATAATTTTTAGTACTTACCAATGGAAATGGAAATTAAACAAAAAAATTCTTCCAAATGAAACTTATTTTGTTTACGCTTACTTTTCTTGTAATTTTTATTTCGTTAAATTTTATTCATATATGTAT